TTGGCCATTCAAATATCTTCCCAAATAAGCAAAACACTTCTGAGAAACAAAAATGAAGTGGGAGACATAGCACTCGCTCCTTGACCTCAAAACACAGTGGTAATAATCAAAACAGCATGGTACTGGTACAATAACAGTCACATAGACCAAAGGAACAGAATTGAGAAACCAGAAATAGATCCAGCTATCTATGGTCAACTGATACTCAACAAGAAAGCAAAACCTATCAAATGGGGAAATGACAACCTCTTCAACAAAAGATGCTGGCAAAATGAGACTACTACCTGCAGGAAGATGAAACAAGACCTGTATCTCACACCATGCATAAAAAGCAACTCAAGGTGGATCAGAGACCTGGGAGTAAAGCCCAAAACCATAGAGTTCATAAAAGACAAACTGGGATCAAGCTTTGAAGGCCTAGTGTATGGTATAAATGTCGAAATAGAGCCAGAAATGCACAGTCTGAAGAGGATAAAATTGATGAATGGGACTTTCTAAAGATTACGTAAGTTCCTGTGAGCATAAAAACTTTTTCCAACAAGGTGAAAAGAAAACCTATCGACTGGGAACACACATTTGATAATACCATCTCAGACAAATGTCTTAAAATGCAAGTGTATAGAATTCTCCTGGGCCTCCACAAGAAAAAGACTGGTAACCCAATTACAAAATGGGCAAAAGACATGGAATAAATTTTCACATAGAAAGGGCCTTTTAAGAGAAAAATGCGGCAATGAATGAATGGAAATCCAAAACCTCTGTAAATGTTTATTGAAATTAATAAAAAAAGAAAGACAAAAAGTCTAGCAAGAGACACAGATCAGCCTCCAAAACCATACAGGGTACAGCCCTGGCGTTTCAAAGCATACACCACATCCATGGTCCTGGTCACCTTGCTCTTGGAGTACTCGGTGTATGTCATCTCATCGTGGAGAAAGACTCTGAGCACAGCCCTGGGTTCCTCATAAATGAGCCCAGAGATGCGCTTGACTCCCCCACGGAGAGCCAGCCGCTGAATCTCAGGCTTGGTGATTCCCTGGATGCTGTCCCACAAGACCTTCTGGCGGCATTTGGCACCGCTTTACCCAAACCTGTTTACCGCCTTTGCCTCAACCAGACATCTCACTTTGTATGTGGAACCAAAAGAAAGGAAGGAAATGCCCAGTTTAAGCGCATTGAATTTATGGTCCTTTAGCAGACCTGACACTTCAAGATAGTGGGTGGTGCTCTGGGCCCTGCAACCTGACTGTTTACCACCAGAGAGAAAAGACAGCTTCATTGTCTCACTTCTAGGAGGGAAAGGAGAGGATCTTTTGGAAAACTTAGATCTTATTGCAATCCCAGAGGAGCGTGGTTCGAATCCACCAGATGCTCTCCTGGAGAAGAAGGGGCAATCTCCTCCTGTACCAGTCAGATCCGATTTGATAGTACACACACAAAAAATAATAACATTTTTTTAAAAAATCACCTTAGATCTTGAAGCAAGGCGCAAAATGGATGCGTAAAAAACCCAAGCTTAGTAGTAGAATTTACACTGGATTTTTCTGAACGCTCAAAAAGTAAACAAAGCCAAATCCAGTTCTGTTTTTCAGAGGAGATTTTTAGTACCATTCGCAAACTGAATCAAAGTGTAGCAGCAAAGACCACATTTACACTTTGTTACAAGACAGAGCAACTATTTTACAACTTTTCACTTGGTGGGGTTTAAAAGAAGTTTTTTTTTCACTTGTTGTTGTTATGCGCAGTCAAGTCGCATTCGACTCATAGCGACCTTTTTGTACAAGATCCCCAAACTCTGCTCTATCCTGTGCCAACCTTACTGTCTCTGCCACATCCACTCCCATTACTCCAATCACTGAATCCATCCATCTCATAGAGGGCCTTCCTGTCCTACTCTGTCTCTCCATCCTCCCAAACATAACGGCCCTCTCCAAGGACTGGGTCCCACCTTGCAAAAGAATCCTTACCTCCAAAGAGCAGTCTGCTTTCACTCTCTCCAGGTTAAACCTGTTTGTACTCCTAGCAGTATATTTAACACTCTTCTCCAGCATTTTTTAAAAACAATTTTTTTCCCTTTTAAAAACTTTAGCCTTCTGGATAAATGTAATACTTAAAAATTCTTTCAGTAGATCCATCCCTAATCCCTTATATCTTTCTCAATTTTTTAACCTCACACTTACCTTTCTTTTTTTTTTAAATTTTTTGTGTGCGTGTACCGTCAAATCAGATCTGACTGGTACAGGAGGAGATTGCCCCTCCTTCCCCGGCAGAGCATCTGGTGGATTCAAACCACGCACCTCTGGGATTGTAGTTGTAGCTTCTTGCCACTAGGCCACCAGAGCTCCCCCACACTTACCTTTCAACCAAATGTTGTTATGTACCATACAGTTGAACCTGCCCCATAGCTGACCCTGTGTGGGGATTTCAAAGGCAGTTAGTTATCACCCATCTTTATTCTGGGGAGCAGCTGGTGGATTTAAACCAAAGCTTCTTGCCATCAGATTATCAGAGCTCCATTTTCAACCAAATAAGCATTATGATTTAATTTAGATATCTCTTCACTTCTCACTCATTACTATGAACTCACAGCTGATTCTCCAGTGGCTTTTCAGAGGCTAAATGACCTGGGAGGAGATTGCTCATCTCCCACCATCCTCCCTTCCACCCGCCAGCAATAGCTGGTGAATTTGAACTGCCTGCTTTAGGATTGGCAGTTCAGTTCCTTATCTATTAGGCTTACTTGAGTAAAATCCTGGATTGTTAACTCTTCCACTGAAAGTAAAGTGTAAACAAAACCTCATTGCCATCAAGTTGGAATCTACTTGTAGTTGACCCGTCAATTTCTAGACTGCAAATCACATGGAAAGGATTCCAACCTCTAGAGAGGTGGGGTTTGGCTAACAGCATAATTCTCTAAAGATTAGGCCATGTTTGCAAAAGAAAAAGCTCCTTGTAAAATAACAGATGCATAGATTGTGGTTTTGATTTCTACTGCAAATCCCCAACCAGGAAGTTCTCAGCCAGTTTCTAAAAGTTCAATATCCTCTTGAGCAAGAAAGCTGTGACCAGACTCTTTACGTAAAGCTTTTTTCACAGCCTTGAAATCATATAGGAAAATTCTACCCTCTCTTATGTCACTATAGGACATGATTTGCCCCAAACAACAAGCTGTATGCTTTGAGCAAATCTATGCTGAACAACTTCTCTGAAGTGTTAATGATGTCAATTTAAAGACTATAAGGTACATCTGACCTAATCCATGATATTTTCAATTGCTTCCTTGTGGCTCTGAAGGTTGGGATAATGAATAAGGAAGACGGAAGAAAAGTTGATATTTTTTTATTATGGCATTGGCGACAAGTATTGAATATTCCTTGCATTGCTAAAAGAACAAACACATCTGTTTTCTGAGGTTCTCCTTAAAGTCAAGAACGGTGACACTTCGGATACATTTGGGATGTTGTTAAGAGGCATCCGTCCTTGCTGGGAAAGGTACAGGGTCAACAATGAGATTGAGATTGGTAAGCATTGTGAGACTCGGTGGAGAATAGGGCAAGGTTTGAACCTGTTCATAGAGTTATATTTAGTCACAGTCTACTTGAGGATATTTAACAAAAATCTTTATGGGGGTAGATTTCCAGACCTTGCATTCCGAAGAAGTCTGAACCGCCAACATTTTGGTCAGTAGCTGAACACTTAACCATTATTCTTCTAGGAATCCCTTTCTGTCATATTAACCTTTAATTGAATCGTTATAACACATCAGGGGTTTTTTTTGACACTATATTGAATAAGACAAGTCAACCAGAGATCATAGCAATCAATATCAAGTTCATGATGTGACCTCAATGATGTTGTTATGTGCCGTCGAGTCATTTGCGACTCATAGCAATCCTATGTACAACAGCCCTAAACCCTGCTCTATCCTGTGCCAATAGCACTGCCTCTGACACACCCATCCCAATTACCCCAGTCACTGAATCAATCCATTTCATAGAGGGGCTTCCCCTCTTGTGCCGTCCCTCCACCCTCCCAAGCATGATATCCCTCTCCAAGGACCTATCCCTCCTTGCAACATGCCCAAAGTATGTCAGACGAAGCCCCGGAATCCTTGCCTCCAAGGAGTTGCTTGGTTTAACCCTCTCCAGGATGAATCTGTTTGTTTTCTTGGCAAGTCCATGGTACATTCAATACTCTTCTCCAGCACCACAGGTCAAAGGCATCAATTCTCCTTCTGTCCTCCCTAGTCATTGTCCAACTCTCTGCTTAACAAGTGATTGCAAAGACCATGGCCTATATCAGGCGCACCTTAGTCTCCAGAGAAACACCGTTGCTCTTGAGTACTTTAGAGAGGTCCCTAACAGCAGACTTTCCCATCGCAATACGTTTTTTTATTTTTCTGGCTGCTGGTGCCAAGAGTGTTGACCATGGAGCCGAGCAAACTAAAGCTGTGAACAATTTCAATCTCTTCGCCATCCATCCTGATGCTACCAACTGGTTCAGTGGTGAGAATCTTTGTCTTCTTGACATTGGCCCTCAGTCCACCTCAATGATAGGCGCGTCAAAAATGCTCAAGCATTTTGCACTCATGGAATGGAGTATCTCTTCTCAATTTTTCTATTTCCAACCGTGCTTTTTCGGTTCTTTCAACTCCCCCCCCCCCCGAGCTAAACTGAAGAAACATTTGTATTGGTTAATATCAGCCAGACTTGCGGCCAGGAAGTATTCTGGCCTTGAATAGTCATCTGGGTGGCTATGTAAATGAGGCTTAGAAATTTCCTTTTGCTATTGGACAGAGCTGTAGTAGGCGTTACGTCTAGCAGCGTGCTAATTGGTCAGGGAGTCCGTCTCTCTCTAGAGAGATTGGCGGCGCCCAATGGGAAGACGCTTCCTAGTGGCGGCGGAGAGGTAAAGGCAGTTCCGGGGTGGTGCGCTGCATTCCTACAGCTGTGCGGTTAGTTGTGTTTTCTTTCCTTCCTGGCGGTTTTCTGTAAGAGACCATGTCTGGTCGCGGAAAGCAGGGCGGAAAAGTGCGGGCTAAGGCCAAGTCTCGTTCCTCCCGCGCTGGCCTGCAGTTCCCGGTGGGCCGAGTGCACAGGCTGCTGCGCAAAGGGAACTACGCAGAGCGGGTCGGGGCTGGAGCCCCCGTGTACCTCGCAGCGGTGCTGGAGTACCTGACAGCGGAGATCCTGGAATTGGCTGGCAATGCCGCGCGTGACAACAAGAAAACCAGGATAATCCCTCGCCACTTGCAGCTCGCCATTCGCAACGACGAGGAGTTAAACAAGCTGCTGGGGAAAGTGACCATCGCTCAAGGTGGTGTCCTGCCCAACATCCAAGCTGTGCTGCTGCCCAAGAAGACGGAGAGTCAGAAGACGAAGAGCAAGTGACCCCAGTGCAAGTAAAGGGGGTGCTGGCTTCCCCAGCAATGGCTTTTCTCAGCTGTTAACCTCATTGCCTTCGCATGTGCTGGCTGTTAACGAAGAATTGGAACGATCTAGTGGGATCATGGGAGACGAAGAGCCTTTCATATTTGGGGGCCAATAAAATCGGTGAAAATCACTTTGTGGAGAGAGCTGTGTAGTGGCGGGGCAGCTGGGAATCCTTTTGAGCAAGTGATGGTAGCTCGGTTTGAGCCACCCACTGGGCTGCTCTGGCTCACTGGTTACTTCTGAGACCTTATCACTTGAGAAGGGAGACCAGGAGGGATCTGCTGGCCTGGAGGTCGACGGGGTTGGATTCTTTTCACTTTAAGGCAAAGTGTAGATAGAAATAGGTGGACATATGTAGAGTGAGTGGACTATCTCCAGGCTTCTTTACTGGAACTTTCGCTCACCTGTATGTAATGTGAGTTGTTTTGGGACCCTCTTCTGAATAGAAAATCAAGTTGCTACTTTGGCCGTTTTCAATCCCTGTGCTTTTTTTTCGAAAATGTGGAGTGATTTCTCTGCCTTTGAGGGCAGCCCTGATTACATGATCTAAATTGAAGACATTTTCCTTAGTCTGATGGCTATTTGGGTTTTCAAATTTTGGATTTCATACTTACGTTTGATGCACTTAAAAAAAAAAAAAAGGAAATAGTAGTAGAAGCATGAATTATGAGGTTGGAAATTCGTTCCCCTGACATTCATGTTGTATAACAGTGCAACACCTTTTATGAGTTACATAGCTTGTGAGTTTTAAAAATGTTCTCAAATTTCTGACTTCAGTGTGGTCTTAACTCCATCATACTCAGACTTCTTAAATGTAATAGCTTTGATTTTGCTTTGTAACAAAAAGAATTCCTTGTTTTAAGGGGTTACTACTCAATTTATCTTGTGGTTGTGTACCATCAAGTCGGAGTTGACCCATAGCTGACTCTCTTAATCACACAGGAGGAGTTTGCTTATCCTTCTCCTGTGGAGCGGCTGGTGGACTTGAACTCTATGCGGGATTGCCGAGCAGCATCTTGCCATTAGGCCACCAGAGTTCCCTGTCCTTGAAATGGCCTGAAGTAATATTCTCGTTACAACAGTTCTTATCTAGGGGTTTATTGTTTACAACAATGGCATAATACAGTTTGGGAAGGTATTTAAAATATAGTTAAGTTTAGGAAGGAGTGTATTTCAGATCAGGAATGCACATGTAAAAGTTAAAACTGCCCTTGGAAAGCACTTCCATGTCACCTGCTCAGCAAACTATCTTTACCCACAAGACCTATTGAGGGGGCGAGAGATTCCAGTTTAGATTTCATGTCTTTGGATTCATTGGCCTTGTGATCCAGAGTTGGAGTCTTCAGGCAAAAAAACTGCAGTGTACCTTCAGCCTTTAGTTGCATCAAGATTAGCTCCTCACCATTTCAGTTTTTCAGAATATTTTAATCTGAATAATAAATCAGCAATTGAAAATACATACCTATAAAGTCAGTTCATCCAGTGATCCTTGATGAACAGGTAATTCTTGTTTATATGGTAGTATTCATTAAAAGGGTCAATATTGTCTCCAAGTATGAGACCATATGGAAGATTATAGGGCTACTAAGTGAACATTGATTTCTGGTTTTCACTTAATTTATGCATCTGTGGTTTTATTTGCATACATACACACCCTTTCTTGGGAAAAGAAGCAGTTCAGCATGGCAGGTTATAACTTGGCCAGGATTTGTTTGGTCTTTTGTTTTTCCTCCAAGGCCAGTCTTTGTGTCTGTGAACTGGTTTGTTCAGTTTTTTCCCCTACTTGGAAGCATAGATTTGCCCTTTCCTCACCAGAAGTGATGACTGGCATACTTTATGCTAACTCTTTGTAGAGTAGTATTGAAAAGAAAGGACATCCCACCCCTTCTAATGGCTGGAGGGTTACATACAGTGGTGCCTATGAACTCTGGAGTAAGCCCAAGATTCAAATTTCCTCTGCTTCTCACGAGCTGTGTATAAGTTCAAGAAAGTTACTTAAACTTCTTAAATCTATTTTATCTGTAAAATAGGTAGAATTAAAGAGTTTATCTTAGACGGTTTGGGGAGGATTCATATACTGTAAATAAAGATGCCACATTTCCCATGTGGAAACATTCCATTAGTAGTTGGTAGCTTCCAATAGAGTCAACTTCGGCAAATAATGACTTTTAATATTAAAATACAATGTTGTTTGGTCTGATGCCATCTTCATGATTGCTACTGGTTTTAGAGTGAGTAGCAGTAGGAGCTCTGATGGCTTAGTGGTAAAAAATTGAAAGGCATGCGATTTGAATCCACTACCTACTCTGCTGGAGAAAAATTACATTCTCCTTCCTTGGGATTTACAGTCTCTGAAAACCTGCTTGCCGGTCAGCTATGGGTTGATTCTGATCTGACAGTACATAACAGCTGCCTTAGGAGAAGGAGCACTGGTGGTGTCGTCTGTAGGGAGTTGTGTTGCTAATCCAAAGTCCTCACCTTTGTTCAGATCCACTGAAACCCAACAGATTGTCAACTATGAATGAGTTTCAACTTGATAGCAATGAAAGGGTGAGCAAGCAATACTGTTGAAATAGTAAATATGGTGTTCTAGCAATCTTGTGGTTAACTCTAATTAAGCCCAGTGACTGGTTTACTAATTACAGAGTATTTACAATTAAATCCATAGCAGAAGAGAGTAATTAATAATAACAGCTTGGGAACCTGAATTTTCATTTTTTCCCACAAAGACAAACTGGTTTGGAGTTAATTAATATCTTAAGTGCAACCACTCATTTAAAATGGAATGTGTTCCTCAGTTTATTTTTGTACATCTATGTGTTATACCTATGGCTAGTAACCAGCTGTCAAACTCAAATCTAATGTGGAACAGACCCCAAAAGAAGATTATAATAGGCTAAATGTAAAAGAAATGCTCAGGGTATTAATAAGAGCAGCTATTAGGGGCACCTGTGTCACTTAGCCCAGTGAGGAGGCTGGTAGAGGGAGGGACCTGAAAGCGATCTAGTAGCAAGAGCCTGACATGACAAGAGCCCTGTAGAAAGAGAGACAGTGTGTTCAGAGAGCCAAGGGTGGGGGCTAATGGGTAAGTTGTTGTTATGTGCCATCGAGTCGCTTGCGACTCATAGGGACCCTATGTATAAGAGCTCTATACACTCTTCTATCCTGTGCCAACCTAGCCATCTCAAACGCACTTATTCCCATCTCTCTAGTCACAGAATCGATCCATCTCATCAAAGGTCTCCTCTTCTTCGCCGCCTCTCCACTCTGCCAAACATGATGTCCTTCTCCAAGGACCAGTCCCTCCTTGCAACATGCCCAAAATATGTCAGATGAACCTTCAGAATCCTTGACTCCAGGGAACATCCTGGCTTCACCCTCTCCAGGACAAACCTGTTTGTTCTCCTAGCAGTCCATGGTATAGTCAACAATCTTCTCCAGCACCACAGCTCAAAGGCATCAATTCTCTTTCTATCAACCCTAGGCACTGTCCAACTCTCTGATGCATAGCATGTAATTGCGAAGACTATAACCCAGATCAGGCGCACCTTAGTCTCCAGTCTGACATTGTTGCTCTTCAGTATGCTTGAGAGGTCGGACAGAAATAGAGGGAAGTATCAAACAATATCTGTAGCTGAATATGAGTGAGTCTATGGGGAAAGATCAGGCCTGGAGATCAAATTTGGGAGTCATAATTAAAAATAGCCAGAGTGGATAAAAGTCAAGGAAAAAACTGTATGAAGTGAAAATCGCCACAGACAAGGAGAGAGGATGGAGACCTGCAAGAGTTAGTGGAGGGAGAGTTTACCCTGAAGACATATGAGAGGACATAGGCTGAAGAATATTAAGATAGTCTTGTGCTCTGATACCTCCAAGTTTTGTACTTTGTGCTCGTTTGTAAGTAGAAAAATTCTCTATTTTCCCATACCTATGGAATGCTGAAGCTGTCTCACTAAGGTTATTGAAACATATGCATTTTTATCCTTTCTATTTTCACATTTGCACAAACAGAAGTATGAACTATGTATGGATTAAACTTATTTTTAAATGAGGTAGCATATTGGTAAATAACTTTGAAAACACATTGTTACCACTCTAGTGAAATGCATTCTTTTACATGCAAGCTTTTACTTTAAACAAATTATGGAAACAATCGTAATTTAGTTATAAAACAAAACAGGAAATTTAAAATTTTCAACTCATAAGAAATTTTACATGACCAGGACAAATAATCTTTTTTTTTTCTTTTTTTTTTATAAATGAGTTCATTTTCAGTTTCCTGAGAGGCAGAAACAGTAGAGGAACAAAAGCACATACATGAAATAAATACATACATAATGAAGCTTTACCAGTTACCACTCTAAACTTTCTTTTCAAAGAGAAAAAGTTTAGTTGTGGAAACAGACTTGAACATACACAGAAGAGGGTGACATTTAGACAGAAGTTGGTAATTTTATGAATATATTGAAAAAGCAAGCATTTAGTAATTCTCAGATTGTGGAAACAAAGCAGAAATGAGTCTTGTGATAACAGCAACAACAAAAAATCTGTCTTTTAGGCCAAGAATATCTGCATGTAAGGGCTTTCATACATGCAATTTTAGAGGATTTTGCAAATGAATTATGTCAAAAAGCTACCCAAGTACCACTGCAATTCCAAATTATCCCTGCTGAAATTGTGCCTCTTGGGTAAGCATACAAGTTACTGTTATGAGAAAATATGAAGACAACTGTACTTGGAAGAATCTCAAATCTTATGACAACGTGGATAAATTCATTGACTTCTAAAGATAGTGCTTGTGTAACTTTATATTATCATTGATCATCAGGCTAGACTAAACTTTTTGGTTACAAACATAAAACTAGACAGATTAGTTCTTAGGACCACAAAGACTAGACTGTAGATAGATTGGAAATAGTGATTTGAAGTGTTGTTTGGAGTAGGTTGCTGGCCTAGAG